CGTCCCTCTCTCCCGACAGCAGCTGGCAGGCGTCGTTGGCCAGGTCCATCAGCGACTTCTTCATCTCCCGCTGCAGCTCCTCGTAGGTGCTCTGCGCCTCCGCCAGGTAGCGCTCCCAGTTCTGGTTGACGGGCAGGTAGGACACCCCCATCTCCAGCATGCCGGCCAGCGTCACCGGGTGGGGACACCTTGGGCGCAAACACCGGGGCTGCCGTCAGCGACCCCAGGAGGAGGGCTTTGGCCCGGTCCCTGCCCCGATCCCCACCCCGTGCAAAGCAGAGCTCTGCAGTCACACAGACGGGGTTTAAACCCCAGCTTCCCCGCTTCGGCCACGGGGCTGGGAGTCGCTTCCCCTCTCTGAGCCTCGGTCCCTTCATCCGCAAAGTGGATTCAGTCATGTGCTGCTCACCAATGGGGCACGTTCTGAGAAAGGTGTCGCTAGGTGACTGCCTCTGTGGGGGCACAGCAGAGACAGCGACACACCTAGATGGTCCAGCCCCCGCCCACCTGGGCTCCACATACGGCTACTGATCCGGCTACAGAGCTGTACAGCGCGTTACCGCGCTGAATGCTGGAGGCAGCGCTAACACAGTGCAAGCATTTGTGTGTCTGAACATCTAAACATAGAAAAGATACAGTGAAGCCCTAACCGGTGTGGCTCAGCGGATAGAGCGTCGGCCTGCGGAAAGGGTCCTGGGTTCGATTCTGGTCAAGGGCATGTACCTTGGTTAGAGGCTCGATGCTGACCCTGGCTGGGGCAGGTGCAGGAGGCAACCAATCGATGTCTCTCTCTCACATCGATATTTCTCTCTGTCTCTCCACTCTTTCTAAAAATCAATGGAAAAATAGCCTCCCTGAGGATTAACAACAACAAAAAAAAGATACACTAAAGACACAGTATAAAAGATAAAGCGTGTGTTCCTGCAGATGACACGATACTATGTAGCGAGAACCCTAAAGACTCAACACTCAAACTGGGTCTGGCTGACATGACTCCGACCACACGGACCGGAAGCCCTGAGCGCTGATCGGGGTGGAGTGGGTGCTTAAAAAGCTGGGACCACGCACAGCCCCAGCCTCCCTGCAGGACCTGCAGAAACCCAGCGTCCAGAGCCCCGGCGGCCCCCACGGACAGAGTGGCGCCCATCTTTCAGCCCCGAAAGGCCAAGGCCCTGAGCCCAAGAAC